TGATTGTTCTTGTTTCTTGCCTTCATACTCTGTGTGAAGTTGTGAAAGTAATCTTGCCCGTTATGTCCTGAAGACCTTGTTTTGAACTTGGTCATTTTCTGATAGTCTGCACTTGTTTAGACTTGTTACGTGAATAGAATTTTTGTATGCTCTTTTGCCACTATTGTGAAATCTGGGGAGTTGCAGAGACTTTTGTTATTGATCCTGTTAGTCTCTACAGCATAGCTGGTTGAGAAATTTGTTCTGTTTGTCACATGACTAGTGGAAGATGGGCAAACCTTTTACTTTGTAAGAGATTCAAGGCTATTTTAGCAAGTGTTGTGTGTTTTCTAGATGCGTTTTAGGAGCTGGATAATTTGGTAATTCCGTGCTCCTTACCTTCTGAAAGTCTTGTAGTGAAATTTCATTTCTTTCCATTTGGTGCCTCATGCTCTTTTCATGTGGCTCATTTTTCTGTATTGGTTAATCAAGAGCAGTGATCATTCAATTGAAATTGCCTTGTTTTTGTGAAGATTGGCAAACTGTCATAAGTTAAACTCTATTGTTGCCAATCTCTACATTCTTGATATCTGGAAATTGCTTGAAACTCTTGAAATCCATCTTGAATCTTTCTTGATATTGCTTTGTACTTGTTCTTGAAATTGAAATCCAGAAATGGATAATGATTATTGAAATCCTCATTATCTTGATTCTTGTTTGAAATTGATTCTTGCATTGTTCTTGAAATCTAGTTTGAGTTGTCCTTGAAAACCATTCTTGTTCTGACACTAGTTCTTGTTTCAGTATGCCTGTTGATCTTTTTGATTTTGTTTTTGTTCATATGGACACCTCTTTAGGAGGGGTGACGATTATCAGAAGATACCTATATGAGCTATTCTAAATTCTTGTATCTTGCAAGTGTTAAATTTTGTATCCTTGATGTCTTAGCTTTGACTTGACTCTAAGATGTCTAGGATGACTTGACTGTAAATCTGCTTAGTCTCCATGAGCTACGAGGTAAAGGGGTAGTCCTTGAAATACTTGATGCCCTAGAGTTTTGTTCCAAGTGAAATGGTTCTTTGATTTGGCTGTTTGGATTTTGTTTGCCCTTTTAATTAGGAGACATGAATCTTCTAAGCATCTTGATCCCAGTCATTGCTTTGTTTTGTTAATTAATTCTAGTACTTGAGGTGCTAGATCTTGATCTCCTGATTATATCTGCTCTTGAATTCTTGTTCTCATTGTCATTATTGAAATCTCTTTTGTGAGCCTAGTTCTTGAATTCTATTGCCTGTTTCATGGTTAACTCTTGTCTCTCAATTTTGATTGCTTGGTTAAATTTGATCTTGACTCTTGGTGAATGCCGTTTTGTTGCTAAATTTTTGAGGCATTCTACCTTGCACTCTTGTGTTCTAATATTCTTCCAAGCGTTCATATTTTCCATTGATTTTATTTTGTTGCAATTCTTGAGATTCTTACATGTCTTTTGATGGTCCTAGCTTTTAACTGTTATTAATTGCTAAAATTTGTTTCTTGATTCCAGTTGCTTTGTTAAACATGATTTTGGTTCTGGTTAACCTTGTTTTGTGGCATAATTTATAAGGCATCCATGTACTTGTTCATTCATTCATGATTCGTACATCCATTGGATGCTTATCCGTCTTTGATAGAGTTCAAAGTTCTGTTATACTCGTCATTAAATCCATGCCATTCTTTGCCAACTTGTCTTGTGATGGGTTCAAAGCGTAACCCCACAACTGTTTCTTTTGTGGCTTTGGCAGGATTTATTTTTATTCGTTGTGCTTCCCATATCACCTCAGCCTCTAGTAGCTCATTTCATGGTAAACCCTGTTAAGTGATTAGTGTTCTGTTGTTATGTGTAGTTGTGATTTGATATCAGAGTGGCGCAGCGGAAGCATAATAGGCCATGTCTGTTCATAGAAAGTGAGTGAGGCATTTGTTTGTCTTGGATTGTGTGAAGCCATTCACCAGTCTAGATGATCCCCAATTTGAGTTTTGGGGACAAAACTCCTTTTTAGGAGGGGTGAATGTAATATCCCAAATTTTCGGGAATTTTATCATTTAAGTTAGGGACTTGATTGTGAGAAAAGATTGTTTTGGGGCCTAATGTGAATATGTCCAAAGTTGAGGGACTTAAAGAGGGAAAGATTTTGGATAAGGATGGCTTATTTCTTTTTCTCCTTTTCCTCTTTCTTCCTCACCCGATTCTGCTCTTCTTCCCGTTGCAGCCCAAAATTTCCCCCAAGCAAGCCGCCGGCACCAGCCTTGAGAAACCGGTTGGAAAAGCTTGGTTTTCTCCTTCTTTTCTTGCTCTAGAACACATGTAGAACCCAGAAATTCTTCCTTCCCCTGTTGGAAAATCCTGATCTGCCTTGCTCTGTCCGCCGGCTGCTGCTGCTAGGCCTGAAATTCTGGGCATTTTTCTGGTAAGAGCAGCCCCTAATTCCTTTGTTCTTGCTTGAATTGGCTTGGGTTTATGTTAATTGCTCTTGGTTCCTTCAATTTTTGGGTAGCCCGTGAGCTTTCTTCTTCCATGCCGCCGGCCTTCCCCAATCTGCAGCCCCGGTTTTAGCTGGAGAATTATGGTATGTGACAGCCATTTAAGGCTTAAAATGTCCTTTTTGTTTGCTGCCTTGTATGTCCGAATTTTGCTAGAAAAATGGGGAAGAATTTGATAGCTTTAGGACCATGATTAAGCACTAATTCAAGTGGGATTTATGTGATTGAGTGTTAATTGCTTGTTGTGATTTTTGGAGAGAAAATCCGGTGAGATTAGTTAGTGTTTTGGCCAATTTGTGGGAGTGGAGTTACTGTTCACGTCGGGGTTACTGTTCACCGACACTGTTCACACCCCGAGGGCCAACAATTAACGGGAGTTTAAATGATTAGTTTGTGATATGAGAACGAATTTGGAGATGTCCGATCATGTGGAAAGTGATAGAAATAGCATTGTGATTAGGAATGATCCTAATAAAGTGTTCAGTGTGAATTTGTGATAGTGGTATTAATTCTTGAAATATTTTGATTAGGTTCCCGATCGTTCTGTCAGTTAGTGCGTGAATTGAGTGCTCGGTTTTATGCAAGTGAGGTAAGTAAATTTATGGTAATGCCCGTACTATTTTATAAGCATGTTTTGATTTGTTTTTGAAGTGGTGGCG